AATACAATTATCTGATGTACTTTCATAATGACTTTAACTACCTTTGAAATATGGTTAAAGTGTGCTGCTGAATGTACTGACAATCATTTATGGTAACTAAAATATATTTTAATGTTGTTCCTATTGAAACTTACCAGGGAGAGTTAACCCAAAAATTACCCCATGATTTACTCACCCTCAAGCCATACAGTTACTGTATATGACTTACTTCTTTCAGACGAATACAATCAGAGGTACATTAAAAAATGTCCTGGCTCTTCCAAGATTTGTAATGGCAGTGATATGGAATGCCAAACCTGACAAAATTAGAAATAAATAAATACATAAATAAATATACAAAGAAATGTAAAAATGCAAAAATAAATAAATATATATATATATATATATATATATATATATTTGAAACTGGCATCTTCATTGCTTACATTGATGATAACAGACACTGGTCCTTCCTGCCCTGAAATTTCACTAATATGATAAGATCTTTTTATGGCAAAAGTAGTGAACACGCATGGATATGAAATAGAACGGGGCATCGGTTTACTGTAAACAGTATCACTGATTATAGAGGAAGATACAAAAGATCTCTTGCCTAAAAGTATTAAACACACTGTATACCGTCACATCTTGTTCTTAACAGGTTTATATATATATATATATATATATACACACACACACACACAAAGAAAAGTAAAAAATAAATTTTTTAAAAGTATTTATTCTTTTATTTGCTTATTTATGTATATTTTTCCCACATTCGTTTTTTTATTTATGTATACATTTATTTATTGCTACATTTCTTTATTTTCACATTATTTAAAATTTCTTTGTATATTTATTTATTTCTAATTTTGTCAGGTTTGGCATTCCATATTTAAGTGTACTTATATTTTAAATGCAATCAAAATTTTAAATGTAATCTGCAAATACAGTTTTTAAAAATATACCTTTAAGATTTGAAATACTGTACACTACAAATGCACATTCAATAGAGTTACGCACAATTATTTTTCACATACACATCACTAGAAACAAAAGATTATCATTTCATTGTTTACATCTGCACTGCATTCATTTGCATACGAATTGTTGACTGGTTGACTTGTTTCATTAATCCATTAATCAGTACGTGGGATTAATTTGAGCATCATCATTTTTACATATTATCACATACTGACACCTTGTGGACATTTTACATGTAATTTTTTTTAGCAAGGCATAATGAATTCTGAAATATTGTGGCACATGATTTGTGCATGGAATAAATGCATAAATAAGTAAAAGTGAGAAGTTTGACTTATATTTGCAGTATAGATGCAGTAATACATGGTTAGAAATACATTTCAATCTTATGTGCTTGACCTTCAAAAAACGAAAAAACAAACAAACAACCATATAGCAATGTAAATACTAAACATTAAATACTAAAAGTCAGTGTTAAGTGATGCAGAAACAGTGAATCGATGTGAAAACTGCATTTTATCGTATTATTTTATTGTAACATTTGTCATTCAAGGTTACAGTGTCAATGCAGTAGGAAAATAAGGTTATAGTTTTTGGAGGAAGTTGTCTGAAGGGTTATATATACTTGTGTTAAAGTAGGTTTTGAGTAAAATTCCAGTTGAATAAATACAAATATTTGTTATCTATGATTTATTTAGTCTGCATTTTCAGGACAAGGATATTTTTATGATTGTCACATGTCATTTTATGCATGTTAATAATTACAATTGACTATGGAATTTTGCCTGTAACTTTTTTCAGTTTTTTTCAGCTGTCATGCATACTGTACAGTACATCTGTACATAATGTACATCATTTGGGACAAATGTGCTGGGACAAATGTGAAACAAGAGAAGGGGAGAATTATCACGTCAGTTTAATCAAATACAAAATATCTAAACATCCAAATTTTTCTAAAAATGTGATAATACATTAATACCCAAATCCAGGGGCGCAGGATTTTGCTAGTGAACTGTAGAGCAGCACAAGGTCATAAAATCACTTTCAGCTGTAAGATGTTTACAGAGCAATATGTTTCATCTCCAGCCATTCATTATTTATGTCTTACAAAGAATAGCTGAAGTGCATGTGAGGTTGCATATTCATAATTTCAATCTCTCACACATGCCCAGCTAAAAATAACTCACCAATTATTGACAGGCCCAACAAAGCACTGGCTTCAGCCAAAAGTTAAACAGCTCTATGTCTAAACCCCATTTTAAAGAAGACCTGCGTGATTTTCATATGGCATTTCTAACATTGTTACATGGGGGTGACCCCTGTTAATGGTTTGTAAGCAATTCTTCACCTTAATCCTAAGCGGTTCCCCTGCACACTACTGCTGCTACATGCCATTAGTGAGATGACAAACATTGTGACCACATGAGGTAATGAGAACAGCTTGCTTGGGTTGACTCAACATGTGTTAAGTCTGTACTCCATACCAATCCTCTCTCAGGTGCACAAACACATAAGTTATTAATGTACGACATGAGGTAAATTGTCTATGCTTTTTGCCACTTTAATTGGAGCATATGTATTTACATGGGACGGACCTTGAAATAAGTAAGCCATTTTCTGATTTTAACAATGTCCAAAATTACCACTTGTTTAATTATTTTGAAAACATTACGTAAGCAGCAATATTAAATATATTAGAGAAGAATGATTATGGTATGCTAATAAATGTGCTGTTATTTTTTTTCCAGCAATGTAAAATTGTTCTTTGTTGGTCTGCGCAATAAAAAAACAAACAAAAAAAACAAGGGAGTCTGTGTGTGATATATTCCACTTAACCTCCTCAACTCATCTGACACTGTAATAACTGCAATAGCCTACTTCGTGGCACTCATCACACTCTGTAACAGAGATCCTAGACATTGTCAGAGCAATGCTAGGCTTCAACAATAACGTGGTTTTGGGGGAAAGTCTTGATTTAACCCAAATCTGTAATTTTGTATGCTATAAAGCACTCATTAATAATTATTGAATATTTAATAAATATTAAAGAGTTAATGCAAAATAAGAGAGGTTTATAAATACCACAGTGGTATTAATCAAATGGATATGTACTGTATCTGTACTGTGAACTGTTTTATTAATCACGTGTGGTGCTCCTCAAGGCTCTGTGTTGGGACCGAAATTGTTTTCTATGTATACACTACCACTCAGCTATATGATTCAGCACCACGATGTACATTTTCATTGCTATGCATATTACTCACATTTGTATTTATCCTTCAGTTTTAATGATCTTAATGGTTTAAATGTGTATGCATTGCAAATGTTAAAAAGATTGTACTGTATATCTTAGACTTATCGTCCTGAATATCCAGCAATTACTGTAAAATCCAAGGTTCATATTTGTTGAAAACTTGTAAATCAGCTGGCTCAGTTATTATCAAGGAAAACAGGTTAGACATGCGCTGAGGTTTAAGGATACAGTGAAACGTATAGACGTATACTACCAAGTCAGGAGTATTTACATACTACACTGTTGAACAGCTTCCCCTGTGATATCAGATCTATTTTTAGTCTGTTTTTATTTTTCCATCTCATTAAAAAATAAAGTCACATTTATTTGAGTAGTTGTTGTAAAAATTTTGTCAATTTTGTATTGTTTTATTATAGAATTTACTGTCGGTTTATAATATATCTATGTATCTATCTATATATTTCATTTCTGTACCGATCATTATTATTTTTAGTGGAGTACTTTATGCTATGATGCATGAAAGATGCTAAACAAATAAGTTTTGTTTAATATTATTTATTATAAAGTATTTATTATTACTCTAATTCTTAATTCTGAATTTTTTATTCAGATTCTGAGTAGCACTGACAAGGGTATTGGGGAATTATTTAAATTATAATATACTTTAGATACAAAATGCTGGCTATAATCAAATCAAACATCCTTTAAGTTTTCATTGATATAATAGACATTTGTTTTGGTTCTTTCAGTTTGGTTACTTGCTAGGACTTACTGCATGTGTCATGACATAGCCATTCCTCTTCCACATTTAGAAAACTTCTCTCATGGTTACCTAATGTGTCCCATGAGAGTATGACAAGGTTATACACCTCCCATAGATCACTTAAACTTCAGGTGGGCCTCGCTTGCACAGAGATGTCTGGCACAAAACTGTCGTTTTATTTCCTCGGTCTAACCTGGTAAACTGCAAGATTGAAATACCAAAACATAAAACAATAAATCATATGCTCATCTTACCATGATGTGTTATAAACAACATGTAAAATGAGTTACAGAATTTATTCTGCATTCTCCCAATTACACAGGGGAATCATTTTCATATGATAAATGAGTAGCTGGGTAAAAATGTTGGCTATATAAATGAAAATATCATCCTTGTCAAAGGTTTTTTCCCCCCAGTAGACAGGTTGTATTTGTCGTTTCTCAATAGTGCCACTAATACATCAGTTTAATAATAATAAAATAAGATTGAATCCTTTATTCTCTAAAAAAAAAATCAAATAAATGAAATAATTGTATGTACTGTATATATATATATATATATATATATATATA